ATCAGTGACATGATTAGAAACACAAGCAACTAACATTATCTCTTATTTTTTTCCCGGGTGATGGTGGAGATCAAACCTGAGTTAAAAGTAGAATAAAGATTTCAGATGACCAGAAACGTATCTTAAATAGGATGATTGAGATCCACGTCTGATGAATGGGCTACAAAGCAAACGTTTACTTTAGATAGACTGATAGTATATCAAAGGGGTTTTTTTTATTATTAAGATTGTTTTGGAGTTTTTCTGTCTTCTGCTGATTCAAACTTGAACCTTTCTTCATGTTTGACATTCAGTTCTACAAGCACACAAGCAAAATTTACACTTTTTAAAAATAGTATCTGGCAATTTGGCAAATTTTCTGGGAATAACAAGATGGGGTGAAAAAGTGAAATGATTGTAGGGGTTTTAGTAAAGTAGTTAAAGTTGTCAATCAAACTTCTGGTTTAAATTTGACCGTCTGTATTTACCGTAGGTGATCATGTACATCATTTGACTCTAAGATGAGAGATCATTTCTTACATTTTGTTTTTGCCTCCAAAGACAGTGGTAAACTAAACTATTAGTCTTTCACTACTTGATTGTTGGGCTGATTGTGTTTCTGTCATGATGTTGTAGACACGTGGTCTCCCTCCAAGATGTCAGCTATGAACTGTGGTACCAAAACTACACCTTACAGGGCTCAGCCGAAGCGTTGCTCGTACCTGGAAGCACTCCTTCCTCTGGGAGACTTTGTGAATGTTTTAAGTAATGCAGCTTTGTTAGTGTTATTGTTGTTCGGAGTGAATGACTTTCACTGATGTTGTCTTGTTTGATTCAAGTTTGCTCCTCTGTCTGTCTTGCAAAAGAGATCTTCTTGAATGAATGCAGCTTAACTAACAGATAGAAATAGCAGCCCATGTGTTAATAAATCAGAATGATCCTTTAAGACACTGTCAGTTATTGTAAACCAGACTTTTTTTTGAGTTCTTTTCTCTTGAGACATCTGGTCCTTCTCATAATGCTGAGACATGTAGAACTTATTTACCCTGAAATGCTTTTCAGGAGTGAGAGACGGATGGTTTTCTGTTGAGACAGAAGTGACACCTTCAGCAGTTTCACATGATGCTGCGAGGTCCACAGCACTGCTGCTGTAGCGCATCTGAACGGTAGTCTCCTAAAAACAGAAGATACCATCTTGATGCAGAACATGAAGTCAAACTCACATCTGCAGCAGAGATCTGCTGAATCTCAGAATCAGTAATTTTCAGACAATATGACAGTTAAAACCTCTTTTCACAAAAAGTGGAAAATGATGCCTCACTGAGTGATTTAAGACAAAAAAATAGATCTTTCACAGATGAACCAGTGGTGTCCTTATACAGACATTTTCAAGTCTTTCTAAGAGTTAAACACTGATACAGCTGTCACATCTGTGCATTAACTACAGTTACTGTAGCTGGACAACTTTAAAGCACCTTGTTCCCAGTCTAATCCAAACAGTAATGTACAAATACCAGTTTTATCGTCATAGGGGCTTTTTTTTGTGACCAGGTGCAGTGATGGAGTCCCTTTATCGTGGGTTTGCCTGACCATCGGTGGAAACACTGCACAGAAGTACTGGATTGATACTGAACCGTGGATATTTTTGCATTACTATTCTTGAAAAGAAAAACAACTTGTCAATCAGCCATAGATAGGTTGGTAGGCTAAAGGCCCATTCATGCTTTGTCAACAAGGGTTCACATGACGAACATCTCACCATCCACTGATCCACTGCACGCGCGGTGACTGCACATGTGCAAGAAAAACAAATGGTGCTCAAACCAAATGCTTTCTTAGAGGAGAGGCTGTACGAGGACCTTCTCAATAATCCACACCTTTGTTGTTCATCATTAACAGAAGTGTAATTGATGATGTCACTGCAGGACTGTGGAGGAGCTTTGATTTGTGCATGTTTTCCATTGATGAAGCTCAAAGACAGTGGGAAGTTCTAAATTCTCCAGATGTCCTGTGCTCTGTCTGAAGGAATATTTGACACATTGACACGGTGCTGCAACTGTCAGTAGTTTCTATATCCTGTAAAAACTGGCCCTTGTGTTTGTCTGTATACGATAATGGGGGGCAATGTGGCCATCCGCGAAATCGACATGACATATAGTAGTTTGAACAGAGTCGTGTGGGCATCGGCAGTCTGCCTTCAAAGTCCACAGTGGTTTGCGTAGACGGATGTGGAAAGCATGAATTGGCCCTTAATCTTATTTTTCTTTTACTTTGTGAGTGAACCAATAAACCTGATATCAGTCCTTTTTCTGACCAAAAATGTAAAACAGTTCATAAAATAATGTCATGCTCAAAATTTTGCTTTAAGAGTAATGGCATAATTAAGAATGCGACAGGAAGATGGTAGCTACTTGTGACATAAATATAAGACTAAGACTACGACATCATGTGTATTTACTCCTTTTGAACCATGTGTATGCTTAATCACATACGCTAAATGTATTAATGGTAAATAATCAGAAAGTTGACCGTCATAACATATGAGGAAGGTCCGTGTGTCTGAGCTGACACTTTGATTTGATTGTTTTTTAAGCACCATATGCATCATTTCGCCTGCACAGAAAATCTTGTGTGAAGCCACAATGTCCAGATCATAAGACTGGCTGGACAGAGATTGTTTAGGGTTTGGACGTGAACAAAGCCTGCGAGGCCAGTCACACATAATGATGCAACTCCTGCATGAGAGGAGAATCAGGTTATTATCATTCATACATGACGCATGTTGTGCAGGGTATAGGATTTTATCTAAGTTAATGTCCTAGTTAGTTCCTCCCAAGACTAGTGCTAGCATTCTCTGCGAATAATAAACCTACAAGTGGACAAATATTCACTGACTCCGCTTATTTCCGTCTCCTCAAGTCTGTTGGAATAATTTAGAATAATTCAGCGAATGTGGTCGCCAGAAAAAGCTCCGCCGACATCTTGCAGTCTAAGACATAAATTTGCGAGACAGTTCTGTGGGCCGTGGACTTTCACAGACTCCTAATACCCTGCTAACTTGCTAACACGCTCCTGCTACCTTCTCAGTCTCTGTCTCTGCCTCGCTCTCTGTCAAAGCAGGAAACTGAACATTACCACCGGGGCCTGAGGACTTTAAATCCCAGTTCCAGAGCACAGAGTGGGAGGTTGGGGG